GGGTTCTAACATAGAACGTTTGCAGCAGAAAACCTGAAACAATAGCTGAAATGAGAGTAGCAATTGAAGAAGAATGTGCTCAAATACAAGAGGAAATGATACTGGACATTTGTAGGTCTATTTCTTCAAGATATGAAAAGTGTATTGAACAGAACGGCAACCAGTTTGAGTATTTGATGTAAACTCATCATTATATGAACATTCTCAAATAGCTTTTAGCTTATTAAAGTTAATTTTCTATGTTTGTTTTGTATATTTTACTTTCAAATGCTTTAAATGTGCATACTTTCTCTTGTGTTGATCTTATTTACAATTCAAAATACATAAATTGAATTAGTTATAACGATTCAAAGAGTGTATACATTATTTTGGGACACCCTATATATATATATATATATATATATATATATATATATATATATATGGGTGCTGTATTTGTGTGTGTGTGTGTGTGTGTGTGTGTGTGTGTGTGTGTGTGTGTGTGTGTGTGTGTGTGTGTGTGTGAATAAATGCTATAAAAGAGAACATTTACTCGGAAAGAGAAATAGTTTTTCAATTAGTTCGGTGTAAGAACCATATTGCTTCTATTTAGACGGACAAATTGAAAGGTACCCATTTTTGGGTGGAATCGACGTCAGTAAGTGTGATAATCTATCTTTTATGGTAAAGACCCACCTCACCTCCTACGAGGAGGTGACGGCTAATACTTCTATTACCATTATAAGAATCAAAATCCTTCCCGTCTCTCTTGCAACGGAACCAATTCATGACTTCTTTTTGTCATATCCATAATTGCCAGCGTCGTGTATGCACTGGGAATATTATTAATTCAATCTCATGAATTGTTTATTCCTGGAAAGGGAAACTGTGGCTAAGGAGTGAATACACTTTTTTTATGTTTCATAAATCTCTTTTCATATTTGAATGACAGAGTTGCGTCCCCTGGCACAGATCGTTGCATTGTTCCAGCCTTGAATGCTTTAAAGATCTGTGCTGTAAAACTAAATTTACGATTGTGATTGCTGTCTGCATTTATGTCTATTCTGTGGTGCTAATATTAGATTTTTCAATGGCATTTTTCTTTCTGATCGACACTGTCTGTATTAAGTCAACTCAAGAGTGAGATTACAATTACCAGAATTCGTTATAGGCTGCAGAGTACACAATTGCGTTTCGTTTTGGTCCATACAACAACTCGACTGTAAGTTCGAAAAATGGTGCTACTTTTCTAACAACCTACTTTTCATCTTTATGTTCATTTAATTCAGTTCGAGTCACTTCATATTTTAAGGACAGATTCTCCTGAAATACACGATACATTTTTTATTATTCAAAAAGCATGTTACGTATATCATCGTGCGTACTAGGGAATAAAGAAAATGCGTTCTACGACATAGTCGGAGCTTGAGTTACTCATTGTAGGAGAAACCAACACCTTATTCGGCGAAACACAGCACGCAACGTCACAGAGCGAACAACAAGCCTCCAAGATTACCCTTAACCAGCACTGGAAGCTTCAGAATTACATAAGATATTCAATAAAAACACAGTTAAATTAAGCTACAGCTGCGCTAGTAATTTAGAAACATTAATAAATAGAAAAACGCTATAAATTTCAAAACTAACATACAGCAAAATGTAGTTAAAACTAGTAGTTAATGCAACTGTAGAAATAAGAATATATGTCCATTAGATGGGGCTTGTAATACCGAAGTAATAATCTATAAAGCAGAAGTAACAGATACTAATGACCAAAATAAAACGTATATCGGATGTACTGAATATTCTTTAAAGCGTAGATGTTAAAATGATAAGTTTTCATTCAGGCAAGTAAGTCTTATGTGCTTTAATAAACTGGCTGACTATGTGTGGAATTAAAAAGGGAAAAATTGTTCAGTTCTTCTCCAAAGGCCATTTATGCTCTGTTTCGTATATATTGGCGGATACGGGTTCGAAGCCTAATCCTATGCCGTCACCAAGAATAATTTTTGCTGGAATGACCAATCAAAATACAAGTATATACTTGTATTTTGATTGGTCATTCTAGCTCATGTAACAGTGTTTCCCCTTACGAGGTGTGGTTAATTAATTTGAACCTTTTAAAACCTTTATTCTAGTCTACATTCAACATCATCACTTGATAAGACACCAGAGGTGCTGAAACAAAATTGCTATTTTTGTTATGATTTTATAACATATTTATGTTATAATTTTTAAATAAATCATTATGTTCGCTCTACTCTGTATTGAGCACTCTTTTACGAATAGTAATTGTTGTTTATTGAATTTATTCCGTTTACACCAATCCCATACTTATATATATATATATATATATATATATATATATATATATATATATATATATATATATATATATATAACCGAATGGGTAAATATACGTAGATATACGAGCGAGCGATCGTATACAAAATAATATAAATATAGAGCTATTTATATATATATATATATATATATATATATATATATATATATATATATATATATATAGAATTGTCCTTCTCCTAGTCAAGCTGCCATCCAACTTTTAGTCTGCCTTTGCATAATTTCAAGCAGTATATGGTTCCAAGCTTATATCAATACATTTTTTAAAGATTTTGTCTGTGATGCCTATTTTCTCTAATTGAAGCGGATGCAACAATAAACTCACGGCAAGTTTATTTTGCTGGGCATCCTGCATATATATATATATATATATATATATATATATATATATATATATATATATATATCCATAATAATTTACCTAGACTTTTCAGTAAGCCTGATGTCTATGAGCTTTTAAAGAGTTGTTGTAAAATAAACTCATTACATTTGACAAAGTAAATTCTCTCAGAGGACGAAACGCGTAGGTAAATGTAAAGTTTCTTTTTTGTCTTTATTCATATTGTCCTTTTAATGATATATATTTTACTTATGTCTGAAATTTCCCATGCACACTAACACACACGCATACATAGATATATACATACATGCATATATATATATATATATATATATATATATATATATATATATATATATATAACAGGGACGCCATTTTATTAATCAAACCATTTTTATTTTTTTATAGACAAATAGCACCTGAGATATTGTGGAATCATGAATTTCACCCTTTTGCGAGTGAGTGCGCGCGGATTGCACCCCTTCCTGTCACGTTCAGCTAGACATAGCAGTAAACAGCCCCTTTTGGCTGTCGTGAGGAAGGTTGATGGCTAGCTACTCCTAATACCGTCTAGGATCAGAATTTGAAATTTTCCCGCGCGTTTCCAGACGTCACCGACGAACAGTTTTTTCACGTCAGTTGCGGCCTGATTTTCAAGCTAGCAGGTCAACTCATTTATTCCGGTCCGCGTATGGGTTAGGGGCACGGAATAAATGAGTTGACCTTCTTTCGAATTAGACTAGCTGCCAGTTATCTTTCATGAGACTTATTTTACCAAGTTGCATTGCCTACGTTTAATGTCACATAATGGATACATATTTGTTATGACCCTTGGCTATATTAAAAGATAACAGAAGCGAAACGAACGATAAAGTGAAAGAGGCCAGGGAGGGGCTGACATGCGAGATAGCAGAAATCTAAAGACAGTTAAACATACGCGCATTATACATACATGCCTCATGAATGTGTGGATGATACTGCATGTGTACGTACGTAAGTGTATATGTTTGCAACTATTTGTACTCATATGTATGAGTATATGTGCTTCGATTTTGCTTGATGTGTGTGTGTGTGTGGTTCGTTTGTGGAACAATTTTCAATAACAGTTTCAAACCTACACATTATAATTTCATCCATTTTACTTCGGTTGATTTTTTTCACTTTGAATTATTTTGACGTTCCTTGAGGAAAAGTAATTTTTGTTAGGTGTTTTTTAATTTTAGATTTTCTTTTGTTTTTCTGATTTCTAAATGTTTATTTTCATTATGGTTTTAAATATTTAGGTTGACAGGGGTCTGCATATGTAATTTTCTTTAATTTTTCATTAATGGCTTTCGTCCGGCCGCGGTGTCGAATGAGTTGCCAACCCCTGACATAGAAGAAGATTTTTGCGCCGCTATTTCTACCCGTCAATGATTACACGGTAATCATTAACTGAGTCGCAATAGCCACAATAGCTAAGAAGCCTGTTGCATTTAAGCGATCATCACTTGTTTTGTACCTCGGACCCAAATGCGCGTCAAGAAAATATTCGCCATATTGTTACAACCTTAGAAGCGAGAAACGGTAACAAAGCAAGATAGATCCATACGATTATGTGGAGTGCAAATGAGTGAAGATCATGCGCTCTACTTCCTGTGACTTTTTTTTTTTTTTTGATATTTTTGCGGCCGAACGGAAAAGCTCAACGAATTAAAAGGTTATTTCCGCCTAAAAAGGGGCAACGCAAGTTCGATAAGGACCGATGAATATATTTTCGTTAATAAGTGTTATTGAATACGCAGGCTGATAGATGTATTTGTGTGTTTAAACAGTTAAACACACACACACACGCGCGTGCGCATATATATATATATATATATATATAGATAGATAGATAGATAGATAGATAGATAGAATAAAATGCAAAATCACGTCGTATAGGGAATAAGCTAATTTCGACAGACGATAATATTCGTCAGTCTTATTCAACCCCGGCATAGACTGAGTTCCTGTCACGAACTCAGTCTATACCTAGGTTGAATAAGACTGGTGAATATTTTCGTCAGTCAAAATTAGTTTATATATATATATATATATATATATATATATACCTAGTAAAACTCATATATATATATATATGCCTAGAAAAAGTCTATATATATACCTAGAAAAGTATATATATATATATATATATATATATATATATATATATATATAAAAATATATACATTTTTTATGTAACTATGTGTAGACTTAATTTATTTCATAAATGTACGAAGAATATAATGCCGCTATAAATGCGTGTTCGGGTTTTGGCAGTCTATATTATTCTCAGAGGAGCCAACACGATGTTCGTGTCACTAGCTCGAAGTCTACCGATCAGTTTTCGTGCAGTGTCGATCAGCAATGCAAAAACATTTCTGTACAACCGTATATCTCACTTAAGTTGCCCAGCGAGAGTACCCGTCTACATTTTCCCCGATTGATTTACTTATTTACATATACCTCTTTTCTCATTTATTAGTTTTCATTTCTTCTTTCTTTTTCTTCCTATTTTTTTTATTTTTGTTCTTTATGTGTATGTGTGTGTGTGTGTGTGTGTGTGTGCCTGTTTTTTTTTTAAATAATATCTTCTGCTCGACATTTTACAGTGACACTCTTTTTATCCACTGGATTTCATTCTGTTTTGCTAAAATTGTTTCCGCTCAAAATATGACGTCGCAAAAAATCCCCGAAGAGAGAAGTCGATATATATATATATATATATATATATATATATATATATATATATATATATATATATATATATATGTATGTATGATGAAGAAATAGTTTTAAGGTATGCTATACTTATGGTATAAAATGCAATATCAGAGATAGAGCGTATGCAAATATAAATATAAAACTGAACATTGAAGTCAACATTCACAGGCGACAGGTAGTTTCATGCTAGGCACAATCCTCAGGCGGCCTGATGAATGTGCCTAGCTTGAAATAGCCTGTCGCCTCTGAGTGCTAACTTCAATGTTGACTTTTAGATTTATATATATATAAATGCGATTCGAAATATGTATTTTTTTTGTGTTATTGTTAATGGACACAAGCTTTTGGAGCGTACACTCGCAACGCTAAGGTTGAATTTTTTGTATGAATGATTCATTGTAATATAAATTGAACTGCATATTTGATTTAAAAGAACTGATCCGACGCGCAAATTTTAGAGATAACAACTGAGACATTGTTCTATTTATTGAACAATTTAGTTCATGCCAAAATAACCGATAAACTCTTACAACAAAAAATAAATAATAAACATTCTTAAATTACAATATTAGTAAAAAACGCACTCTCTTAAATTTTCAAAAATTCAACCTTAGCGGTGCGACTGCACGCTCCAAAAGTTTGTATCCGTTTAACAACAATTAACACAATATATATATATATATATATATATATATATATATATATATATATATATATATATTCTTGAAATGATGAGACAAAACATAAGAGTAAGCAAAGAAACAGAAAGACTCGATAGATTGGAAGTTCTTGGAAGATTTTATTGAGAAATGAAGCGAGGTCATTGGAGATTCTTTTTCGAAACAGGTATAATCAAACATGGCGATTTGTAAATCTGTTGCATAAAAAGCTAGTAACAGAGGATATATATATATATATATATATATATATATATCCTTAAAAAAAACTAAGGGCAAAAGGATGCAGTCGTGGTTTCAACCATAATAGGTATCATCAGGCAGTATCTCGAGCGAAGTGGCTGATGACAACCTATATATAGAATCCACTAAAGAGTATGGAGTGTATGAGAAAAATATTATAATTATATAATTATAATAATAAATAAAATATAAATATATAATTATATATTTATAATTATATGTGTCTGCATTTTAGCCATTATTTCTGATCTAATGTTAAGCAACTCACTCTTATCAGTATGAGATGCGATTTATACGCAGATGTACTTAAGAACACATGGATCAGTGGAAAAAAGCGACCAGTGAGATGACCCCAAGAGTTGTGAGTTCAATACCTGGTTAAGGCGGTGGAGAAATTGGAGAGCGAAATTAACAGGAGATACCTCTTAAGTGACATCCATTAGAAATGGCACGTGGAACTAGAACAGTCTACCCCAGTGAGCGAAATAAAAGTTCAAGTTCGACATTCCAAGACTTGAAGAAGGCTGGAACGTACAACGCCCGAAACATTGTGATAAATATGGCAACAAAGATGAAGACAATAGTCCGAATAATGTCAATAATGTATATCATACCTCTCTCAGAAATATAGACAGATACTGAAAGGCCGAAACGTTGTAATAAATATAGCAACAAAGATGAAGACAATAATCCGAATAATGTCAATAATGTATATAATACCTCTCTCAGAAATATAGACAGATACTGAAAGGCCGAAACGTTGTAATAAATATAGCAACAAAGATGAAGACAATAATCCGAATAATGTCAATAATGTATATAATACCTCTCTCAGAAATATAGACAGATACTGAAAGGCCGAAACGTTGTAATAAATATAGCAACAAAGATGAAGACAATAGTCCGAATAATGTCAATAATGTATATAATACCTCTCTCAGAAATATAGACAGATACTGAAAGGCCGAAACGTTGTAATAAATATGGCAACAAAGATGAAGACAATAGTCCGAATATTGTCAATAATGTATATAATACCTCTCTCAGAAATATAGACAGATACTGAAAGGCCGAAACGTTGTAATAAATATGGCAACAAAGATGAAGACAATAGTCCGAATATTTTAAATAGTGTGCGGCGTAACAGTGTTATTAATTAGGTTCAACGTCCAAAAATTGGACTACTTTCTTATTGATATCTACAGTATTTTCAAACTCCAGAATTTATATAATAAATTAATAGAAGTAAAATGTTTGTCTGTCAGTTTATTGATGTTACCTTCAGCATCACGACTCCACAGTTTCGTTGATGGACCATCGGCTTATTACACAGTCTACTTTTCAGCGGGTATCAGAAATTGACTGCTTATACACACTATATATCTTTGTTTTATGTTTAATTTTCATTGGTTTAAGCTTTTCTTCAGAATGTATGCGTGTGTAAATCCCTCTCTTTAGGGAGTTTTTGTTACACATCTATTTATCATCTCTCAGTTACGTCTCTGTCTTTGGGCAGAATGTACTCAGGGGCAACTCTGTCAAAGGACAGAGCGACAACTGAGTAAAATGATACCGAGAGGTACCCAGACATGGGGAACAGCTGCCCGAGGCCTTCGCCGTCTAATTGCACCAGAGAGAAGGGTCGATGCTCGCACCAAGACTAACGCAACCAATGTTTGCGGGGGCTGCGGACAAATTTTATTCCTTGCCCGGGTGTACGCGCGTGGCTCCCCCACCTTAAAAAAGAACTTGTGTCGCCGTAGTGGGGAGACAGAGTAAATACTTAGTGTATGTGTGTGTGTGTAGGTGGGGGGATTTCGCACATGCGTCAGCCTGCGCTTATGTGCGTTCGTGTACAATGCCGTAGTTACTTGTTCTTTACGTTACTTTAAACTCAAACATAAACATTTTTTCTTTTTTCTATTTTCTTTCAATCATGAGCATTTTGACTTCCGATTTTCTAGACATTTACTGTTGTTATATATATATATATATATATATATATATATATATATATATATATACGCACGAACATCTATTTATATATATAAATATGATTGTGGACATTCAGATCAACACCAAGGCTCTGGCCGTTCCCCACAATATTCACTTTCATATTTACATACGCTCTATCCCTGATATTGAGCACTTTAACCCATATATATATATATATATATATATATATATATATATATATATATATATATATATATTAGTTACTTTATGAAACAGACAAATCTAAGGGTTCATGGTGATTATAATTTGTTTCTTTACAATCGGATTTCGATTCTAATTCCTCAGATCAACATTTTCAAACAAATACATGGGTGACAAAAATTCAAAGCATAAGGAAAATTCATTATTATTATTTTAAATTTATACACACTTTTGTTTGAGGAGGCAGGTTTAAATTGGTGGCTGGAGAGGTTGCTGGCGGTGGTGGGGTTTGGTTGAAGGAGATATATATATATCTCCCCAAAGAGAAAAGGTAATTGACGGAGTAGAAGATAAAAGACATGCACACAAATTTAGGAAAAGTAAAAAGAGATAAATAAGAAAAGACATAGATGTATTTACACCCATCTTAATAAAGAGACATAAAAGAAAGACGGGGACGTATGGGGTTTGTTCGTCATGCTGACCTCTTTTTCAAATCTATCCGGTATAAAAGTCGAAGGGGAATGTCGAAATAAGAGTTAAGAAAAAAAGAGACAGAAAAGAGAATATATATATATATATATATATATATATAAAAGTGAATATTGAAGTCAACACTCAGAGGAGACAGACTGTCCTACAGTTACACGTGGGTTTAATTTGTTCGTGTGGTTTGTTGGTAGTTTTCCTGTTGTGCTTTTTTTATCGTTTGTTCCATGTTCTCTAGCTGATGTTTACAGTGTTTTTATTGAATATTTTGTGTAGAGTGCTTGATTCCGGGAAGTGTTAGTATAGACCAAAATAGAATAAATAAAAATAAAAAATAAATTACATAAAAAAACAAGTAAAAATAATCAAACCAAATAAATAAATAAAGTAAATAATAATAAACAAATTAACAAACCAATCCCGCCAAAATAACCGTTAGAATAGACTACAACAACCAATCTAAAAATTGGACGTAAAATAGCTATAACTGCTATATAACGATAAAAAACATTAATACGTTACTCAAAAATCCAAAATCTAATAGAGTAAATAAAAATTTTCAAAATGAAAAATAAGTAAATAAATAAAAAACAAATAAAAATTAATCCAAATAAACAAATAAATGAACAAATTAACAAATAGCCACCGCTAAAATAACCGTTAGAATTAATAAAAAAATAAGAACAAATACGCAAAAGCAATTAAAAATAATAAATCCAAATAAATAGATAAATTAAAAATTACCCATCCGCCAAAATAACAGAATAGACTACGGTAAGCAATCTAAACATTGAACAAATAAATAACCTTAATTATCTTCCAAGACCAAAACTAACTATTAAATAAATGACGTAAGCAAATCTCCCTCCAATTTTTTTACTACGTTAATAAATGAAAAATGAAAATGAAAAACAAATAAATTAACCCAAACAAATAAATAAATAAACAAGTCAGTCCTGCAAAAAAATGACCGACAGAATAGATTATTCACAATACTCCACTGACCCATAAATATATAAATGTCGATTCTGAGTTTTGACTTCAATGTTCACTTTTATCTTTATGTTTACATACGTTCTCTCTGATATTGAGCACTTTATCCCATTTTTTCATATATATATATATATATATATATATATATATATAGAGAGAGAGAGAGAGAGAGAGAGAGAGAGAGACAAAGGATAAATACGAT